CAGCTGCACCTCGTTAGTTTCCCCCTTACCTATACACTGCTCACCGTTCACTTCCCTGCCAGTTCAATCATTGTCTTCAGGCCCCTATTTTTTGTGTTTTACTTTGTGCCTAGTTTGCCAGTTACAGTACATGTCTCTTAGTTCTTTCATATTACCGTTTGGACCCGCTGTACTCTTTTCCTCCCCTACGGACCACTCCTCTGGACCCTGGATCAAATCATCCTACCAGCCTCCACCATACAGGTCGATGCACAGTCTCCATTAACCGTCTATACATGCTCCTGTCTCCTCAGCCATCCTTCATCCCAACCACGAACAGCCCACGGCAGTATTGTTATGCTAATTGCATAACAATAAAATTAAAGTTTTGGGAACCCTAAACCTCTATTTTGACTGGTTGCTGTAAATTTCCCATGCATATATTGATTCTTTTCATTCCAAAGGAATTCATACATATGCTGTACTTAAAGGGACTTTCTAATAGGAAAGAAAAAAGCAGAAGGTTAATCCTCTGAACACAAGTTTTCTTGGTGATTTGAGAAAACACATTTGGGGATTTCAGAATGGTACTGTGTGCAGATAGTTTGACTTTATATGAAAATATATTGTTAAAGTGCCAGTTAAAGTGTCTCACATTACTCTAATTCAGTTTAACCTTCCATCAGAGGAGGGACAAATTGCAGAAGTACATAAAATATAAACAGCTGTATGATTCGAAAAATATTAGACTGGAAGTCCAAATTGCAGCAGCATTCAAGCCTGGATTATGGACTGGGCTGGTGGGGTCGGTGCACCAGGGCTTTGAACTGCCTGGGGGCCTCACAAAGCCCCTGCAGACAGCAGTATGAGCCTAATGCATGATTTTATATGTGATTTTACCAATGTGATGTACTGTTACATGTGTACTGCTGTTGTTAAAATGGGGAAAATCGGTGTGTGAAAAAGGGAACGTCAGCAGAAACTTCCCTACAAAAAAGGAATTGTAGTCTGAGATGACACCATGGGTCCTTCCTATCAAACCGCCGACCTTTCAATGGTGCCATATTTAACTTTCTAGCAAACTGTTGTTCTCCCTTCTGAGCCCTGTCTGTTCTATAACCTGGTCACAAGTTTCACCATTGAGCAATCTTGTCACAACACCACCACCCTGGTATTGCATCAGTATTGGTAAACTATAATACATGCACAGGATAAGGTAAAACACATCAAGATTAATATCTCGATAAGAAAGTCAACAACAATCTGCAGATGACTGTCCCATTTTTGATTGATCTCTTTCCAAGAGTGATTTTTGATACTGTAAAAATATGGTTACTGTCCTCAAGGTTACAGTCACATGGGATGATGTGAAATCAACACAAGTAATACAGTTGGTTATACCAGAAACGTAAGGATTATCATACCAAACAATTCAACTCCTGAGCTCCAGTGATTAACAAACACACAATCAGTTATATTTCATGCATGGATAATATAAACTTGAAATGATTATAAGTAGGAATCAACTTAATCATGGTTAAAATATGTAAGGTGCCTTATAACATTGAGTATATGGCACAGCCTACTGTCCTCCCTCTGGATTGTTGCCTTTTGGTGCCACTTCTGATTTATCCCCTGTTATGAGTAAAACAAACACTCCATGGTATAAGATATGATGTTCATACAAGTTGCGTGGCAGATTCTGTGTGAATGATGTTGTTTACCTCCTGAAACAATAGAGAATGGTTAGCAGTACTTAGTGGTTTAAGGTCATTTATCAATTTTATGGCCTCAGGCTCCCGTAGGACAGAAAGACAGCAGACCACAGCAAGCGGCTGGTGGTTTCAGGTCATGGGGGTCAGTGGATCTCACACATTCTCAGCACCTATAACACCTGACTGAAGAAAAAAACTGAATAATTTAGTCGACAGACATGAATATAGATTACTTCATGTATGAAGATAGAGGTCAGTGAGAGATTTTATGAAAATTATATGAATCATATGCTATTGCCTTCACATTCACCAGATCTCAACCAAATGAGAATATCTTTTATGATCTAATGTAGAAAATGCTCCCCTAGAAATGAACTTTTGATTCTTTTAGTGGCTCAGAGGATGAAAGGATTTGTAACAGTTTTAAACTTCCTGCCATAACAAGTTCACAGTGACACACTTCACACACACCATACAAAATACCATGAGATCCTAAAAGTGAACCCAACAAAGGAAACAGTACACAGGGCATTTATGTTAAATCAGTTGCAAGTTTTGTGCCACCTCAAGAACATTCAAGGAAGTCCAAACTGAAGATCCCATTGGCCATTTGCAGTGTTCATGAAACATAATCTGAACTATAACCACTGAACTGTTTCTGTTGTGTTCAGGGAAGCTAAAATGAACATGAACACACCGCAAGATATGAGGAAGTTAGTTTTAGCTGATGCAAGAGTCATTTCCCAAAACACAGGAACACACAGTTCACAGCACTTCTTTTTGAAAATATATATATGTGGAAAATAAATATTGAATCAGTTAAATTCCTAAATCACTGATGAGAAATTAAATATATTCTAAAAACCCTTCATTGTGTCGACTAGTCTGTTGTGTTGTTCTGTGTTGCCAGATTCTCATTTCTGACTCAGAAGCATCAGATAACATCAGTCACCATACTGAGTGATGAGCCAACATTAAATACATCATCAACTATATCAAGTAGCCTACATCTCATGGTTTCTTTCCGATGACAGAAAGAAGTTGTGACTGTATGAGCAGAGTTATCCATCGCTTCTTTCCATTCAGCTCGGCCACTAGCACCACACAAGTTATGCAGACATCCTGTCACACATACGTATATCCTGTGATTTACGCAGGTTTGAAATAATTTCTAGCTAAAAAGAGTTGCCATAGTTTGCCTTTATGTAGTGTCATAGAATATTTTCTCAAACAATTAATCTGTCCTTTGTCTAAAGTCACAGAGCCACTCTCCACTCAATAGTGACTTTGAGTATGTGCTCTTCATGTTTCTACCGCCACTCGCTGTAGCTACACGTCCACTGCAGTGATGTGTGGTTCACCAACGACTCATTCAATTTGCTGAACGAGATTCAAAGAACCTAATCAGTAAAATGATCAGAAATACATACAAAAGCTCACTTCAACCATTGTATATATTACAAAAAAGAGCGATAAGAATTGTGCATAAGATGGGGTATAGGGATCACACCAATGTAGCTTTCATACAGTCTAAATTGTTAAAATTTTTTGATTTAGTGGGATATAAGACTGCTGTGTTTATGTATAAAGCCAGGAACAATTTATTACCTGGTGGAATTCAAAAACTATTTAATGAAAGGGAAGGGGGATACAATTTAAGGGGTCAATTAAATTTAAAAATTCATGCTATACGTACAACCAAAAAAAGATTCTGTATTTCCATAAGTGGGGTAAAACTATGGAATAATTTAAGTGTAGACATAAAAAATAGTAATAGAATTGACGAGTTTAAACATAAATATAAAGGTATGTGTCAATCAAGATATATGCAAGAACAGGCTTAATGATTAATTAGACGGAACATTGTGGGTGTGGTGTATGAATGATAATACTCTGTAATAATTCTTTAATATATTACTTGTGTGGTGTAGAAGATAAGTATTTAAGAATGTAATTATGTACGAATGTTAACACCGTTATAATTTTTTTTATTTTTTATTTTTTTAGTATAATACTTGTGTGGTGTAGAAGAGAATCATTTACTGCTTGCAAAC